AATGAAAGTTTCGATGAATTCGTCGTTTTCTCTCGTCGAGACATTCCACCGGTGTCGTTCACCTTTGAAAAAAGAATATTTAGCCGAATCGACTCTAATCGAGATGTATCGACGAAACTCTCGAGACCATCTTGAATCGTATTCGAATGGAACACCACGGTCGAAATGTCGCGATAATTAACTTTCCTTCTTAACCACCCTATTCCCTTGGTCGTTTCCGTCGTGGCGAGAGGAAAAATAAGGATATTATCGTTCGATCGATGCCGAAACAAGTAGCTGTTCAATACATATTGCACGATAACAATCGGATTCGAAGGCAACAACCATTCGAATTCACTGCACGAGGAAAATATACAGAGTGAATGAATTTGGTAACTGGGTCAAACGATAACGTTTCCATCAACGATACTATGATTCAAGAAATTTATTACTGGAGGTGCATTGATTAATGACTCAACTTTTTTTTAGGTGTAGACGTACACTTTTTTTATATTTTAATCGGGCGTTCAGATTGTGCGTTGTACATTATAATTTACTTTTTACTTGTTCGATTAGAATTCATAGGTGTGTAGATGTTGTGCAGTTAAATTATAGTCTAGAATTATATGTTTGTGAACTGTACATGCTAAATTGTAATTTAGATATAAAATATATGTCTTGAATTATATTTTAGGATGTGGAAGTCCAGGATTTAGAAGTCACATTAAAATATACAAAAGGTGTAGACATTTAGTTAAATTATAATTATAAATTGTCATAATTTAACTGAATTACAATTTAAACATAAATAGTATATCCTAAATTATAATTTATAATATACAATTTAGAAGTCCTACTAAAATATACAAAAGGTGTATACATATTTTGTTACATTAAAATTTGACCAAAATATATTTGTAAATTATAATTATAAATTACTACAATTTAACTGAATTATAAGTCAGACATAAATAGTATATTCTAAAATAAAATTCAGAAATAAGTTACATATCCTAAATCATAATTTATAATATACAATTTAGAGATCCTACTAAAATATACAAAAGGTATATACATATTTTGTTACATTAAAATTTGACCAAAATATATTTGTAAATTATAATTATAAATTACTACAATTTAACTGAATTACAAGTCAGACATAAATAGTATATTCTAAAATAAAATTCAGACATAAATTACATATCCTAAATTATAATTTATAATATACAATTTAGAAGTTTTACTAAAATATACAGCAAGTGTATAGATATTTTGTTACATTAAAATTTGACCAAAATATATTTGTAAATTATAATTATAAATTACTACAATTTAACTGAATTACAAGTCAGACATAAATAGTATATTCTAAAATAAAATTCAGACATAAATTACATATCCTAAATTATAATTTAAAATATACAATTTAGAAGTTTTACTAAAATATACAAAAGGTGTATACATATTTTGTTACATTAAAATTTGACCAAAATATATTTGTAAATTATAATTATAAATTACTACAATTTAACTGAATTATAAGTCAGACATAAATAGTATATTCTAAAATAAAATTCAGACATAAACTACATATCCTAAATCATAATTTATAACATACAATTTATTATCCCATCAAAATATACAAAAAGTGTATAAACATTTAGTTAAATTGCAATTGTAAATTAAAAATATAAATTATTATAATTCAGACGTAAATAGTACATCTTAAATTACAATTCAGACATAACCTACATATCCCAAATCATAATTCATAATACACAATGTAAAAGTCAGATTAAAAATACCTAGAAGGTAAAATACTAAAGAATTCACACGTAGCTCAGAATTTAGTACGATACCGTGCGATAATGTAACGAGGGTGTACTTGTAATACAATTTCTATCAGTGGTGCCCTTAAGTTTATCTCGCTGCCCAGCATGGTGACCTGAATCACCAGCATGCGATGGAATAGGGTTGCATGTAACTGATGTAGGCAATAAAAGAACCTTATCCGTAAGAAACAGTATTACCGCTGACCTACAGAGTTACCGGGTGTCAATACGAAAGGCAATAAAGTAAACAGACAACTGTTGAAAAGTAGAAGCCATATGTTGAAGTAGAATCTTATTCAAGTTTAACAATGGACTTAGTCTTTTATGGACTTGTACCATAATCCTCGAGTAGAGCTCAAGAGTAGGGTTAGGTTCAAGAGTAAAGTCAAACTTAAAAGTAGAGTTATGCTTATTTGCCAAGGATTATATTTTGACCCAGTCGTATTTTTGGAATATTTTTAAAAATTGAAGAGAGTTCGCCCCACTACGAGATATTAGATTGAGAGTAGAATAATATAGGGATTTTTAGTTTCTTAAGTCTTTGCCTATTCTATTGTTCCATTCACTTCGTGACCCTTATTGAAGATTTGTACCAAACATACTTCTTTTCTTTATATTATTCACCTACTTTGTGTTCATCATGTTTCTGTATTATCTCCTTTCATTATTATATCTAACTATGGTTATTCATTTTTATTCCATTTATATTAAACTTGTACAATCATCGAACATAAAATCGAATAAAGAGCTGACCTTCGAGTTCAATTTCACAACTCGTGTTATTTGCTGAGACGTTTTAATTTTTGTCAACTATCGACAAAAATTTGTCAGAAAAAATTCGAGTTATTCTTCGAAACAATTGCGAGCGTAATACGCAACAGTAATTAAATATCGTACTTGAAAATAGATAAAAGTTAAAAGCTTCGATAACATTCGTTAGCGCTAAAAGGACCAATACTGAAAATAGCTGTTATTGAATATAGTCTCGTTCGAAAGTGATACACCGTGTTCTAATCTTCTCTACATGGTTCCGAAACGTCCAGATTTGAATTCGTAAATAACGCGATCGACAGACGTCATTCGAGGAACGAAATTGGAAAGAGCGCTCTTCCGGCCACGCTCCGAGCGCCATTGTAGCCGCCAATCGAAACAATACCTTGATTTTCAACGGAGTACAATTTACGCGCGATATTTACACTGAAATTAGACTGCATACCGTATAAATAGGAACTATTCTGTCTTCGGAATTGAAACTGTGTTATATCGAGTGGTGTTGTGGACAATTTTGAAAATATATTTAATTTAAACAACTTACCGATATTTATAATGCAATGACACGATATTAATTGGATGGATATTCATGGTGAGGTTATTCATGGTAAGTGGAAATTATTAAAAAGAATACAAAGCGATAAAATGCTAGTTAACTTCGTAGCAAATATTTGTGCAATAAGTTACATTATCGTAATGGCGCGAATATAGGATGTGACGTAAGAAAGCGTTTAACCTTTATACAACAAATGCAATGACGCAAAAAAGTGCTTAAATTTGTAATGGATTTATATATAATTTTTCCTAGCATCTGGTACTAGAAAAATACAATTTAATAAATTATAATTATGAAGAATTAAAAGTATTTGCAAATGACGTCATAACATAACCTAATTCTATATTAATCGCAATTGTGTAGTAGGAAATATTTCCAATATAACGAATATTCAAAGAACACAATTAGTAATTGAATACCTACAGAATATGATATATATAAATATATTTAGAATTTACGATATGACGTGCGTCGTACATCGCGAGATATATCGCCGCGTCATATATCATCGAGCAATAAATCGCTACGAATCGTAAATGTATACAGGGAATTATATTGCGGATCATATATCGCCGCGCAATGCACGTTATATATAGTACCGTAAGTAACGATACAGTGCTCTACATCCAGCTCACGCGATATCGCGTGATCGAACAGCGATCGATCTCGAGCACCGTAATTAGGTAAATCACTCGCGAAAAATACTAGTATACTACAGCAGTAAAGGTAATATTTGTACCGAGGTAAGAAAATGTACACAATTTCGAGTTTTACCGTGATCGATTTGTGTACGCGTCAATCGAAAACTATTCCGGTCGACGTGTATACACCTTGCTTGATTTTAATTCCGTACACCGCGAGGGATTTCTAAAACTAAACTCCACAGTTAAGGGGTTAATAGGTTAAAAGATGGGAGAAATCGTCGAACCGCCGTTCGCAACGAGTGCCAATTGTGACAGGAAATGAACATAATGTTTCCGTATTATCATTTTCAAACCCGACACGTTTGTCGTCCGCGTGCGAAAGAATGATTAATTTCTCATAAGCGTGCGCGCGCCAAGCGGATGTTAACGGCATTCGTGCTAGCGAATCGTTAGAAACACACGTACAATTTCAAGCGGAGAAAAGAGTGCTCGCAGATAACGTTAACGAAATCGTTTCGCGATACCGTTACTCGCGATGCGTCGTTACGAGACATCGGAAAATCACGCGTGCTGTCAATAAGTTTCCGCGGAACATAAACATAGTCGATGAATCATGAAATTCGACGTTTCGTTCTTAATTTACTTCCGCTCTTGTTTTTACCCGCGATCACGTGTTACGTGCTCGCTACGCGATCGACGAAACGTCAAAGAAGCGTCGCGGCATGCATTTTAAAAAACCGTTGTCTCTTTATCGGCCGTAATCTATAGATAAAAAATGGTAGAGCGAATGTTACGTGTTCTGTAAACACGTACCAGAGATTACCATCTTCGAAACAGTGGATTACGTTTGACAACAGTCGCGTCACTAACCTATGGTAAAAACGCGATCGACACTAGTCGCGTCGTTATGGTTGTAGGTTAGGTTAAACAAAGTCCCGGTGTAAACGATAGATTTCTATTCTCGAAGAGTTTCACCGGGAAATTCCTCGCGATCACGGTTTACCGATGCTCTCCTCGTCGATCAATAAAAGAAACGAGATTTCGACGAGAGAGTCACGTTGTTCGCGTCTCATTTCGTTTTCACGAAGCTCGAAATCGATCACGGGCCGTGTCCTAACCTCAAAAGGCGCGCCGGCACGCCTCGAACGTACGGAGGCACAAATTTGACTCTGTAAGGGAAGCGAATTCGACTGTACGTCAAAGGACAACACCCACCTGGTTTTCCTCGTTGTTCCCGTTCTTATCTTCTCGTCTTATCAGCGTATTCGCTCACGAACACCGTACAGTTGCCGGCTTCTCACTTGACTTTTCAAATTTTCACACCGGTCCCGTTTTCCTCTCGCCCGACCGACCGACGGTACATGTAAAGAAACGAGCACGTTGCCCGCCTGCGATTAACGGGACTTCGTTTACGTTATTTTCCCTCGATGTGTCGCGAAATGGTCGGAATACGCTGTTCGGCTCACTGTTTGCTATTAGAGGCAAGCAAACGCGAATTAGGATAGATATGCCTTCGTTCATCGACGCGTCTTCCTCCTCTCCGTCGCGAGCGCGTATCCCTGATGGAAGGAGGCGAAGGAAAAAAGGGGAAAAAAACACAGAATGGATAAAAAAAAGAGAGAAAGAGGGAAATGAGGGAGCGAAAGAGCGAAAAGGAAAAAAAGAGGAAGGAGAAACAACGTTGAAACCTCGACGACAGTTTCCCGTGCACGCGGTCGCACTCGACTGACGGTGACGGTATCCCGAATCCCGGTTACTTTTTCGTGGCTCTTTAACCGCCGGCCGTTTTCCGTTTACGCTACCTGCCCACCTTTGCCTGCCCTGTCTGCCCACCTCGTTGTTTCTTGCCGTCGCCCTACTCCTCGTGTACGCGGTGCTTCATTCTACCGCTACTTCTCTCCCTCCTTTTTCTTTTCTCTCTCTTCCTTCCGTTCTTTCCTTTTTCTCTTTTTCTTTTTCCTTTTTCTCCTTCCTTCGATAATCCTCTCCCACTTTCAACAAATTGTTCGTAACCTGTCACTATTTCGCATCGCTCGCGGTCACGGATCTCCCACCTGGCTCTCGTTTCCTAGCGGATCCTCCAGCGACTCTGAACTCCTTTTCGTACTCGTGTCAACGCGTCGTCGAACCGAACGGGGAATTAAACCAGTCTTTTTTTCGTCTTAAAAGGGGAAAAGGAAAAAACGATCGCGGCAAAGACGAGGATGACGACGAGAACGACGCGATGAAGACGACAGAAAACGAGGGCCGCCCGTGCCGACCACGGAAACCACTGCCGCTAACTTGCCATCTCGCGGACGTTACTGTAAACCGTAAACGTTCTCTCGACGGTTCTCATATCGAGGATCCCATGCATTTCCTCCCTTCTCGATACAAACGTTTCTCATTCGCTATTGATTCGTTTCGACAACAGATTATTATGAAATTCGATGATTGCGAGGCGGCTTTGCATACTTACCGCAGACTGCTCCACTCGCTCATTTTTACTGCGTACATTTTACAATTTGTACCTTTGAACGGTTTTAAATTCGACTTTCGGCGATTAATAAGGGGAAATTGTTAATCGGCTCTTTCGTAATCTGCATGCAAACTGGATTCCTTTGTCGTTTCAAAATCAGTGTTTTTATAATTATATTACACAATCGTTTTTTTTCAAATATTTTTGAAAATATAGGGATTCGAGGAATTCGTTTGCGTAGTCAGAGATCCGAGAAATACTTGCAAAAAATTAAATTATGTTCCATCGATAAATAGTTCGTTATAAAATGATACGATCAACTTTATAATCTGCTCATTTTCCTTGTCTTGTAGAAGCACTCGATATTGTCGATATGGTGGTAAATGTTGAAGTAGGTTGAAAATGTAGTTAAACTCGCCCTAAATTGATTTTCTTACGAGTTCCAGTGAAAGCACTGCCTATGTTAACCCTCGAATAACGTGTGGTTATAAACACCCGCGTAAGCGAAAATTCTAAGATATATCTGATACTACAGTATTTTTACGATGAGATAAATTGCGAGGAAATTGTTTTCGAGAAAATTGTGAGAAAGAGTACATATGCATTAATATACATATAGTGTTCATATAATTATATACATTATATACATATAATTATAGCTACATTATTATACATTACAGCAATAATTACTTATGCACATATACTTTTATGTATATACTTATCCATTAAGAGGAAGTTTATTACTTTAACAGGAAATGCAACATTTACATTAACAACTGAATATATTTTTTCGAACAAAAGGGATCGGCAATATGTAGATTCGTGTCACGACTTTAACCTAATGCATAAAGTTAAACAATTCGCGGCAACGGTTGATGACAAGAATTGTCATGTTCGCATTCATGCATCGCAAACGAAGTTCGACTTAAGTTTATAAATTATTTCATTTATGTTAAATGCTATACGCATACGCATAAGGAAGGACGGCGTTCTGTTTTGAACTTAGTCATTGAAATGGAAGTGGCCATTATTGGTGTCACTAAAATTAATTTTTGCTAAATATTTTAATTATTGTATTATCATATATTTATTTTCACGGTATCAAATTTTTTAATTTTTTAGTTGACAAACCTTCAATTCTGTAATTTTCAAATTGACAAATCTACAATTCCCAAATTTCTAAATTTTCAAAGGTACAATTCCAAAATTTTCAAATCTTCAAATCCGCAATTCCCAAATTTCTAAATTCCAAAATAGGCAATTCCACAATTTCCAAATCCAAAAATAGGCAATTCCAAAATTTCCAAATCCTCAAGTCTGCAATTCCAAAGCCGCAATTCCAAAATTTCCAAATTCCAAAACCTGCAATTCCAAAATTTCCAAATCCCCAAGTCGGCAATTCCAAAATTTCCAAATTCCAAAATAGGCAATTCCAAAATTTCCAAATCCCAAAATTGGCAATTCCAAAATTTCCAAATCCAAAAATAGGCAATTCCACAATTTCCCAATTCCAAAATCCGCAATTCCAAAATTTCGAAATCCCAAAGTCCGCAATTCCAATATTTCCAAATTCCAAAATTACCAAATCCCCAAGTCTGCAATTCCAATATTTCCAAATTCCAAAACCCGCAATTCCAAAATTACCAAATCCCCAAGTCTGCAATTCCAAAATTTCCAAATCCAAAAATAGGCAATTTCACAATTTCCAAATCCAAAATCTGCAATTCCAAAATTACCAAATTCCCGAATCTGCAATTCCACAATTTCCAATTTCAAAACCCCCCAATTCCAAAATTGCCGATTCCCCAAATTCACAATTCCAAAATTTCCAAATTTCCGAACTCGCAATTCCCTTATTTTCAAATTCCAATATTTGCAATTCCAAATTTTGCAAATCCCCAAATCTGCAATTCCAAAATTTCCAAATCCCAAAATCTGCAATTCCAAAATTTGCAAATCCCCAAGTCTGTAATTCCAAAATTCCCAAATATCCAAAACCACAATTTCCCAATTTCCATAATCTTATATTTCTGCAATTCCCAATCGTCCCATCCCCGAATTCCTAATCTTATTCTATTATTGTACCTTGCTGTCCCACTATAATCATTTTGTTTCCATATTTCTCCTCGCTATACTATTTAAACACGCTTTTGGACTTGTTACACTAATCGATCAAGTCACTTTGCAAAGCAACGTTTATCGCGTCGTAATACGATCAGTCGATATGAAATACTCGATTGCAAGAGCGGGAAAGTGGCCAATTGTAGGTTGCCAGCCATATTTATTCGCGCAGATTAACCTACTTCGTGCCCATTTAAAATGGTGGTAACCCTTTGTTGTAAAATAATATTGCATCATCTGTTTTAAATGGAACCGAATTACGTTCCTTAAAATCCTTCTTTCGTTCTCTTCTTCTTTGAATCACACTTCTACGGAACATGACGCTTCTGTTTTACATCTTGCAAATCGCGAATTAAATTATTTGCTAGCTGTTTCTACTGTATATTTGCACTTCGCAAACTTTGATACCTTGATATCTCTTCGCACATTTTATATTTCCCGGTGGCACTAATGCATTGTATACATCCTCTTTTTACGCAGTTGAATCGAGGACTTCGGTCGCCGTTTTCAAGTTCCTTGAGCCTGGATTACCTCATTTTTAGCCTGCATTTTACGCCAGACTTTTACAACGAATAAGCCTGCGGACATGTTTGATGAGGTCAAACGGCACTCCTACTTTTTCGGCCATAACTTTTGCAATACCAAAAATTGTTTAAATTTTGTTGCCGAAAGTTCATTATTTTTTCACTAAAAAGTTTCCATGTATCTTTTTTTAGTTTCGTCAAGTAGGTCAGCTTTTACACCCTTAATATCAAAATGGTTACACGTCGATATTCCGTAATTTCACGTTCTTTATAATCGCGTCTCAAACACGGTTAAAATTGCTTCGCGTAAACAAACTGTTCAGAATTTATTCAAATCGAGAAGCTCGTGTATTATGTTCGCAAAGTTCTATAAAATAATTTTTCCGCGAGAAGGTGTGTTTATCGCGTCGAAGATTTTACGCGCGGTTGAGATTTTAAAGACGCGTTAAAGGACAGTGGCGGGAAGGAGTAAGCAATTGGACCGGAATGGGAGCGATTCCCGCTAGCAAAGAAAAGAGCAGAAAGTGTAATGCCATGTAACAGCCTTGTGAGAGGTTATGCAAGTCACGAGTAGCCCAGTCTCGACGATCGGCGAAAGTGATTCTTGCCTGCTTTGCACGGTCAGCAAAGATACTTGCAAATCATTCCGTCTCTCGAAACACTGCTTTCCACGACATTTGCGTCTCAAACTTTTACGGGTTCTTTGTGTTTTTCTGTACACTTCTTTCAACCACACCATTAATTAAGGTGAATGTCCGCCATGAAATTTGTCATTAATAATTATTTGATAAAATACTCTTTGATTGGCGATACATGTGGTGGTACAAGAATAACGACGTAAACTGACACTTTACGCAACCTGTTAAAATGACCCATTTTTTTTTTTAAATTGCAAAAGGTATCGAGAAATTTTTAGATGGTTGTAATTTATTCTTTTTTTATTTTGGCTTCAATTTAAAAATAAGTTATCGATTGAATTTGTTAATAAATTAGTTTGTAAGTTTATGCAGGTGGTCAGTATTAGGTGGAAGGTATTAGGCTACAACTAGAATCAATCTGATGTTAATAAATAAATTTATAAGTTAATGCATGTGTTCATAGTACTGCTGAAAGGTATTAGGGTACCTGTTAAAATAAATCTGTTAATAAATAAACTTGTAAGTTTATGCATATGTCCATAGTACTGCTGAAAGGTATTAAGCTACCTGTTAGAATAAATCTATTAATAAATAAATTCATAAGTTCATGCATGTGTCCATGTACTGCTGAAAGGTATTAGCCTACTGTTAAAATAAATATGTTAATAAATAAACTCATAAGCTTATGCATATGTCCATAGTACTGCTGAAAGGTATTAGCCTGCTGTTAAAATAAATCTGTTAATAAATAAATTTGTAAGTTTGTGCATATGTCTATAGTACTACTGAAAGGTATTAAGCTACCTGTTAGAATAAATCTATTAATAAATAAATTTGTAAGTTCATGCATATGTCCATAGTACTGCTGAAATGGTATTAGCCTGCTGTTAAAATAAATCTATTAATAAATAAATTCATAAGTTCATGCATGTGTCCATGTACTGCTGAAAGGTATTAAACTACCTGTTAAAATAAATTTGTTAATAAATAAACTTGTAAGTTTATGCATATGTCCAGGTACCACCGAAAGCTATTAGACTCCAGTTAGGACAAATCTTGTCATTTTATGCATGTGTCCAGGTACTGCTGAAAAGTATTAGACAACTATTAAAATAAATTTGTAAGTTCATGCAATAGTGCTGCTAAAGGCTTCTGTTAGAACAGGTAACTTTTTCATTAAAAAGTTAAATATTTGGTGTGAAATTTTCGTCCATAGGAAGCACGTGTTTCATGAATTGCTGATTCCGTGGTATTGCATATATTTGTGCCGTCACGTTTAAAATTGCATTTTCATACAAAAGCGCTTTGTTCATTTAACCAACGTTATTTGTTTTTCGGTTAAGGTCACAAGCCAGACACAAACGCTAACACTAGTTTCTTTCTCGTAAAAGAAAGACGAACTTCCTCAGTGAGAGCTTTGTTCTATTTGATCGCGGGAAATTTGATCGATCCGTGGTTTCCGGCTAAATTTCAGTTTGATTATACGATAGTTTGGAACACGTCGCGCTTTTGAATCGATGCTCCTAATTTTCCCTCGACTTTTCTGTCTTGATCGTCCTACATCGTTTGTGGGTACGTGTGACCCACATACGACTCATTACGAAGGTATCTTCTTTCGTAATTCAGCGACGCTCCGTAGATCAACTCCGAGTGTCAGATAGAAATTGTTCTATGAACATTTTCGCAGTCCTTCGAGGAAGGGTTCAAATATTTGTGCACGAAGTCGTGAATTCGCGGACGAAGTTTCGCGAAGTTGAATCGAATGCAAAAGCGGCTAGTTTATACAGCAAGGCGATCTACGATAAACATTCGAGTTCGGGTCATTTTCAAAGATAACGAAACATTATTGTAACATTGTTATTATTTGCCATATTGTAACCTTGTGGACTTAAACTGCAAAGACCAAATTGTAACCTCGTGGTATACTAATTTTTACTTGTCATTATTAGTCAAGTAAAATTTATACGAATTATCGTGAATACTAGCAACACTTATCTATTATATGTTAATAGAATTTTAAATTTAAATTTTCTCATTTTGCGTATTCTCCCTTCCAGAAGCTTTGTTTTTCAGTACTCGTATTTTTTACGAATGTATAAATCTTCGACTGTGCGATTCATTAAAAGACGTAGGAAAGAAGCAGTAAACCAAAGGTTGTCCATTATTGAAAGATCATTTTGCATAATGAAATTCGAAAAATTATGCGAAATGTTCTTTACTGAATGTTTGAGATAAACGTAAAAAACGATTCCAGAATGTGGTAAATAACTGTGTTTTAATCAGTACGTTTTGCAAAACTATACTTAACTGTATATTTCAGGAAGAAGTGTACTTTGTTTTGCTAGAACATCGACGCAGAAATTTCAGCATGATTTTTTAAATAAAACTATTCAGACAAAATAATAATTATTATTTTTTATTGTATTATAACTAGATGTGTTATAAAGAAATTCTCAAATAGTTTTTGCAAAACGAACTTTATTTAACTGCATATTTAAAGAAGAAGTGTTTGCTCTGCTAGAACGTCGTCGACGTAGAAATTTCAGCATGATTTTTTAAATAAAATTTTTTTAGACAAAATAATAATAATTATTTTTTTTATTGTATTGTAACTAGATGTGTTATAAACTCTCAAGTTTATAAGTGTCATTCAAAAAGACACCAATTAAGAACACCTATCGTGTTTCTCTGCCGCCATTTTGAAAATTGCACAACTTCCCAATGAACTTTTTCCGGAGTCTGCACACTGATAAATTCTATCCTTGAAAGTAGAACCATTGTTAAGTGGTCTACCACCTAAATTTACTATTCAACAAAAACGAGACATTCAAAATGGCGCTCGAAAAAATATAAGTCGTTGAAATATCTCTTCGAGGAAAAGATAATCCACCGTCATTCTCAGACGATTACGGAATATTCTCGAACTTCAACAATAATCACTACTAAAATAGAGTTTTGTAATAAATTACTTGTCTATAAGGAAACGAAGATTACTGTACAAAGATTAACAAGTAGCTGCGGGACTTTGAACACAAATGTGCAACTTTGTCTTGCAATCGCGTAGATACTGCGATAAAAAAATGCAAGGTGTCCTTACTCGATCGTATCTTTAATCGTATATTGTAAGCTTTTTACTGTAAGTGAAAAGATAATCGCAATCGACATTCAATGACAACATAATACGTCAACGTACGTTATATTCGCATATGACATACACTACCGTCCATAAGTACCCGGACACCAGCGAAATATGCATTCGCGTTGCATGAAAGTTATTCAAGTATCTGCAACAGTAACTAAAATCGATTTTTTTTCTGCGAAGGTCAGAATACTGGAACGTTTTTCCATTGATAATTCTCGTTTGGAACTCACATCTCGATGGAAAAGAAGCCACAGACGAACTAAACCGAAACTGTCGAGTGCGTAGCGTTACCTCCATTCTTATCTCCATTGAGGGAACCTAAACACCTACCAACAGTTCACAAACACTTGAAACATATCGAAGAACCCTCTGAATACGTTCTGCACCATAGAAATGAAACACAGTAGAAATGAAAATTTTTTTTCGAATCGAAAGCGTTTCATTAGATTCACAAATTTGGACTTTGTACTTCTGGACATGTATTTTACTTTCACACTTTTGTTGTATAATTTGTACTTAAAAATTAATTCTATTACGTTATGACACCTCAAAAAAGATAATAATAATTATTACAAATGATATGATAACCCTAAATACCTTTCGTACAAAGTTCAACTATGTTTTATGTAACGAAACCAAGTGTCCGGATACTTATGGACGGTAGTGTATCTTCACATATGTGGCATATGTTAACACGGTTATATTAAAGAATCGATAAGAAACAGAAACAATTTAGTAAATTATAGGAAGGTGAAAATTATGACGTTTAAGAAAAAAGACTTGTTTAGATTTTCTCGAGACATCAGCAGGTCTCTTATGATTTTTGAAGAGAATAATAGTTTATTAACGCTACTCCTGTAGCAAGCGTTCGATGACGTATTCTCAATGTCGTTCGACGAAATATGATGAAAATGCGAGCGCAATGTATCGTAATCGACTGGTAAAAGTATGATACATCTGTCGTAATACATTAGCATGTATAGCACATGCATTAACGTGGTGTATGCAGTTTTATACGGAGCCTCGTTTATGTCGCGTGGTTCACCGACTTTCACCCGTTCGACACTTTCACCGATGAAAATCTGTACCGACTAAATCGTCTCTAGTGTGCTCTAAAGACCGTCACACGTGTCGTTGATTACGGTTTTTTCGCTTCCCGCACCTTAGATACTACGAATAATTTATACTTCATGGGTCTCTTCAAATAAATAAGCTTGTGACTCTTGCTATGTATCTGTAATTATTATCAACCAAATCCTATATGTTGGCTTCTTATAAAAATCCTGCATGTAGTAAAAATCCTACTTGTTGGTTTTTTGTAAAAATCCTGCATGTAGTAAAAATCCTAAACTTATTGTTAGATTTTTTGTACAAATGCTACACGTGTTGCATATAAAATTAAATTACATATAATCACTATAATAAGACTACAATAAACATAGAAGACTAATTTATGAAACAGCGAACAACTTAGTAAATTGCAAACAGCGTTTGAACGATTAATTAAAAAATCATATTACGAATATAAAATCTGACATATAAGAAAGAGAATACATTAACTAATTAATTATGAATTCGTAAAAACTGCGATTATGCATTGTAGTTGCTAATTCTCATTGCATAAATATTTACCTCTGAGGGGGCATTTTAAATGGTAAAATAAATTTTCGGACTGTAAAGGGTTGAATCCAATGGCACCTGAGGTGCCTTTCGAGTGCAAAGTCTTAATTCTTGATGAATGCAGATTTCAAGAGGATCGCTTCAACAAATTGTGTAATTTATAGTAAAGAACTTGTGGAAATATCATTTGATCGATTAGTTAATTTTAGTGTTAAATAAATTAAACTCTATCCAGCCCCTGTTGTAGACAACCTTATCGATAAATAAGAAACTTGACTTACCCATTGACTTCCACCAAATAAATTCTCGTAAGATATCTGAATTATCCACTGCAACAAAGAAAGATTTATCGAATCTTCTTTATCGAGTGAGAAATAATACAGAAAACTTCATTAGTTAATTGCTGATAACATGTCAAACTACAATACTAACTGCTGCTAAAGTATCGTTATTACAAAAAACATCCCTCTATGCTATTACTTTCATCAGTCATACTCAGATGGCGGTGGAGACTCTATTTTAAAAAATGATAGATGAAATTCAAAATCATTTAAATCAACAGTTAGTCATTTTTTATTCATACACATATGACCTCAAAATTATTTTAATATGTGCGAGACAAAATAAATTTTTCATAAATCTTCCACTATTTTTCATTACGAGATCTATTTTTGTTCTTAACATTATTGTACGTACTAGAATTTTGTTGGGAAGCAGGAAAAGAACATGTTCATTAAAAATTGTACAATTTAATCGTCGTAAAATAAATATTTCTCTTACTTACATCGAGTCGTATTGTACAAAGTTTCTTACACCTACGTCGTTAAAAATGTCATTTCGCATCACATTGGATTGAGACTTTTTCGAATTGAGGCATTAAAAACAATTTATACAAAGGACTGTACATTGATCGTAGGTCAACTTATAACTATAACAGACTCTCGTTATAATATTCTAACGAGAATGGCAATCTTGCGGGAAACTACCACGATTACCAATTATAACATCGTAATTAAAGTTCAAGATTCGAACGATTACTTTTGAGTCAAAACTTTTGACTATCATGCACGTTTATACGGGTTCATTCATAAATTTCTCCAAGAAGTAAGCCTATAGTATTATAAAAAATTAAAAATAGCGTGGTCGTTAAGGCTACGTTGTACAGGGCGCTCCAAAATTAATTCACCAAAGTTATATGACACAAACTTAAACATTTTCTTAAACGAATCTGCAAACGTTTCTCTGATTATATAAAAGATATAACAAGGGAAAGAATTGAAATTCGTTGCAAAATTTTGTCGTGTTATGTCGAGGGAATTAAACTAATCAATGACTTTGTAATCTAATCACTTGGTCACACAATTTTGCTAGTATTATTATTGTGAGCCAATGATCAGAGAAATCCCAACAAAATCAACAAATGTTACATTGTTCCTTTCTACCTACAAAGTAACTACAACTTTGAAACACCCTGTAAGTACAGTAAACTGCAAGCAATCGACCGTTAATATCAAGTGATTTCCCTGAGTTGCATTTCAAGTTTACGTCTCTTGTACCTCTAATGACATTTAACGAGCTAATTGCTCCTCATTTACGAATAGCCCTTTCGTCGAAGGTACGTCAATTTTAAGATATTTTTACTATCTGAATCTAATGCAGAACTATATATAATATGTACAGCTGTTTACAAATTGAAACATGAAAGTGGGTGTCTGTCAAATGTGCCTCAGATTCGAAAACAATCGACCCGATCTTTCAGTAACTCGCGACCACTTATCCTACGATTAATCCGCCACGAATCAGGCTTGTCGAATCGTGGAAGAACATAAAGGAATTGCGAACTCGCGAATGCGAGTTGTATTCGGCGATTTGAGCAATGACAACGTTGCCGACCGACAACGAACTCGTCAGGTTCCTCTGTTTACGGGAACTGAATTTGGCAATCGTGTTCCTAACTCGAATAAATATCAGCTAGGTGTATTAAATATCAATGGCGGATTGCGTGTTTAGGTCAATGTCAAATTTTCAGGAATATTTTGCTGAAATTGTAAGTACCGATTTTAGATGGTCCCAAATATTTTTTGATGGTCCCAGAATCCGCCATTGCTCGAAACTCTTGGAACGCTACTTCGATCAACTGTCTTTACATTCCATAATATCTATGTTCAATTTTTCTTAAACGAATATAGTCGATTTGGATCCTGCTGTACAACCTCAGATCTAATTAGCTAGGTTAGCTTCTGAACACCTGTCGCAAGAAAATACCTACCCTAGAATTACAAGAACACCTAGAATAGTAACAAGAACATTTGATTGCTACAAAATCGTAGCATAATCGTTCCAAAGATTTTCGAGGACTACGTCCCGGACTTTCCCTATAATTTGCTCAGTCAGAACTTACACATGGCCACGTAAGCATGCACTAAAACACGCGACACGCACGCACAGAAAGCGTAAAAGATATAACCGAGTGATTGTCCACCTTCTCGAAAGAAGGTTGCATCGAAATGTCCTCGCGAATGAAAAACCGCGTGATGTCTCGACGACCGGCTCAAGTTATCGTCCGTGCCGATCGGCTCGAGTTCACCACCATCGCGTTAATTATTCCTTGAACCCCCTGTTGTCGATGAACACTCGATTCCTGAGACCGCTGTCCGAGATGTAACCGGTCGCCATCTTGTACTGGTTCGCGTACATCTCGCCGTTCTCTTTGGCATCTTTGCGCGGCGCCGAGCCGTTCTGTTCTCGCCGCAACTTTTCCTCCGCCTCTCTCTTCTTCTTCTCCACGGAGAACTGCTTCTTCTTGTACGACTGGATGTAGAAGTCGCGGAAGAGGAAGTAGAACATGACGGCGTGCATGCCGATCCACCAGACGAAGGCTTTCGGGTAGTTGCAGTCGATGAAGAGGAGCTGGAAGGCGTGGATCATTACGAGGACGAATTGTACCATCTGTAACGCGGTCAGGTACTTCTTCCACCAGAGGTAGGGCTGGATTCGGGGTCCTAGAGCGGCTAGCAGGTAGTACGAGTACATTACGATGTGCACGAAGGTGTTCAGCAGGCCGAAGAACGTGCTGTGGCCACCTGCGAGTCAGAAAATAGGGTTCTTTTGTTATCTTCAATATTACAGTGCGATAAAATAGCCTAAGAGATGTACAGAGTGTTTATTTTTCTCTACTGTTTTTCTTTATCTTCATTATTAAATGCATAGTGCAATAAAATAGCCTAAGAGACGTACAGAGTGTTTATCTCTCTCTACTGTTTTTCTTTATCTTCATTATTAAATGCATAGTGCAATAAAATAGCCTAAGAGATGTACAGAGTGTTTATCTCTCTCTACTGTTTTCCTTTATCTTCATTATTAAATGCATAGTGCAATAAAATAGCCTAAGAGACGTACAGAGTATCTATCTCTCTCTACTGTTTTTAAAAATGTTACGGAACTTGAAACTGAAATGCTGTCTTAAAAAATTCGACTTTTATATTATGAGAAGTATCGACAAGTCTATGTTGATAAAATACTAAAAAGTCTACGAAGAAAATTTAAATACACGTGAAACCTGAATAAAGATGAAGGATAAGAAGTGGAGATAGCCTTACCTGGAGTGAATTTGACGCCAAACCAAACGGACATCGGCATGCACCCATGATGTATCACATGAAGGGTCGATATGTGGTTATTCTTCTTCCTCAAGACAAAGAATATCGTGTCCATGAACTCTGTGAATTTGGAGAAGTAGTACCACCAGCAGCCATGAGCCATTCGAAGCGCCAAAGGACTGTTGGAATAGTCTACCGGCTGGCAACGGAACGAGTAGTGACCTCCCCATCCAGACATCACAGACTGCAATCATTTAAAAATAAGTAAGATGCTCGTGAAGGGAAGATATTCTCTCAAAATCTTCGAGTGCACCTACCTCGTAGAACAGCCATGCAGAGAAGATGACTTGGAAGAGATTGTAGAATATCATAACCCTCCTCAGGTCGAAAGGTTTGCGATTTTCCATGAGCTTAGGACCTAAAACCTTGACGAAGTAGACGTAACTAAGACAGATAGCTAGGGTCGGGAACGGACTGCTCATCAGCATCCAGTCGTTGACCCTAGGATCGCTCTTGTTGTCCATGAGGTCCCGATAGCCATCGTAAATCGTTCGCACAACTTGCGCCATCTGAAAGCGACATAACATCCTTTTTTACAATTCTGACAAGTGTTCGTTCATAAACTTAATAACCCACAACGACATTAACCTGTTATTAGCATTAATACCTATTAACATTACTGATTTACACGAAGATTACCGACGTTATGAGGCATTAAATTGACAAATTGATTATGAATATCCTCAGGGTAACGCGCTCGTTATCTACGAATAATTAAATAGACAGGATTGCAAAAAGTTCGAAGATCGTTTCGGTTCACATGATGGTTCCCTTTCACTGAGGTTTTCTCGAACCTTCGAGGAACGAGGAACGCGGTTGCTGAATTGGGTCAGAAAATTTCCGCGATTCTAGTTTGGAAACGAGGGCGAACAGACCGAATGACAGGTCTATCTACATGCACTACTTATGCACCTATATTGCACGTGACAACATTCATCGACCGTGAGATTACAGGTTTTTATTAGAATCGCTTTATAAGTACTTTAATGAACTCTATGTACGGGTATGATTCACTAGTTATTATCTTCGATACCAAAGTTTGAAAACTTTGTGAACTTGTAAATTAAACTTGTAAACTTGTAAACTTGTAAACTTGTAAACTTGTAAACTTGTAAACTTGTAAACTTGTAAACTTGTAAACTTGTAAACTTGTAAACTTGTAAACTTGTAAACTTGTAAACTTGTAAACTTGTAAACTTGTAAACTTGTAAACTTGTAAACTTGTAAACTTGTAAACTTGTAAACTTGTAAACTTGTAAACTTGTAAACTTGTAAACTTGTAAACTTGTAAACTTGTAAACTTGTAAACTTGTAAACTTGTAAACTTGTAAACTTGTAAACTTGTAAACTTGTAAACTTGTAAACTTGTAAACTTGTAAACTTGTAAACTTGTAAACTTGTAAACTTGTAAACTTGTAAACTTGTAAACTTGTAAACTTGTAAACTTGTAAACTTGTAAACTTGTAAACTTGTAAACTTGTAAACTTGTAAACTTGTAAACTTGTAAACTTGTAAACTTGTAAACTTGTAAACTTGTAAACTTGTAAACTTGTAAACTTGTAAACTTGTAAACTTGTAAACTTGTAAACTTGTAAACTTGTAAACTTGTAAACTTGTAAACTTGTAAACTTGTAAACTTGTAAACTTGTAAACTTGTAAACTTGTAAACTTGTAAACTTGTAAACTTGTAAACTTGTAAACTTGTAAACTTGTAAACTTGTAAACTTGTAAACTTGTAAACTTGTAAACTTGTAAACTTGTAAACTTGTAAACTTGTAAACTTGTAAACTTGTAAACTTGTAAACTTGTAAACTTGTAAACTTGTAAACTTGTAAACTTGTAAACTTGTAAACTTGTAAACTTGTAAACTTGTAAACTTGTAAACTTGTAAACTTGTAAACTTGTAAACTTGTAAACTTGTAAACTTGTAAACTTGTAAACTTGTAAACTTGTAAACTTGTAAACTTGTAAACTTGTAAACTTGTAAACTTGTAAACTTGTAAACTTGTAAACTTGTAAACTTGTAAACTTGTAAACTTGTAAACTTGTAAACTTGTAAACTTGTAAACTTGTAAACTTGTAAACTTGTAAACTTGTAAACTTGTAAACTTGTAAACTTGTAAACTTGTAAACTTGTAAACTTGTAAACTTGTAAACTCGTAGACTCGTAAACTTGTAAACTTGTAAACTTTGCAAACTTGTAAACTTGTAAATGGACATTTACAATGTCCATTCGTGGACTTGCAGAACTATAGACTTGTAAAAATCGAAGAATATAATGATCTTCAATAGCCATCAGTCATTTAAAAAATAAAAAGAATGGTTAGACAAATTCTTTTTCTGTATACTGTCTGTTATAATGTTCTTTATCATCCTTCACCATTTTTGTCTTATAAAAAAAAAATAATGTGTATGGTAAATTTTTGACGATACACGTAAAATGTGGGAAACAAAGAAAGTATCATTTACAGGGAAGCTAGCGACAGACTCGACCGAGCGTCCATTTTGTAATTCGATCTCAACGCAGGTTCGAAAGGAAAAGTAAACTCATCAAACACCGCAAGAACCTGTTTCCGCTACGAAAAAAGATCCTCTCGCTAGTTCTCGTAATTCTGTTTACACGAGTAATTTTATGCCCTTATAAAATGCCCCAAAATAGCTTGAAAATTTCAGCGTTTCATAAACATTGAAGTCGTAAATCGATAGATATTCAAAAATAAACGCGTGTTAGTCTTCTATAATTTAACTAGTCTAGATTAATAGTCATATTGAATTAATTCGAAATAATTTGTTAACATTCATGAATCAACGATAGACTTAAAAAAATTACGTCTAGATTCACGGAATGATGTAACTACCGTTATCCATTTATGCGGCAGTTGAACCGCTCGATCTAAAGTGGACTTCGGAAAAAAAGTAACGGGACAGTTTTTACAGTTTATCTAAAGCGTTGTTGTTGAATAATTATAATCGAATCAATGAGAACCGTACTACGTGACGAAAGTTAAACAAGGAAGATCCTTGATCGGACTAAAAATACTCATTATTATTTTTAATTATGTGACACTTCCTTATTGATCATGATTGCGGTACATTCTTAATTTTATTTCTTTCCGTTGCTTTAATTTTATTGCCTTGAATATGGAACTCGATGAAAATACGAGGAAGATTGGACGCGTAATACAAAAAAATGGAAAAGGAAATATATGCAAATTGATGGATGAGTGAACAAACATTTCATCAAGGTTTCTTTTGATACTAATATATGGGTATCTGTTGCATACAAGAAAATTACTTCTCTTGAGAGACCCGAGTGCAAGGTTACGCCTGAGTGCGCCTTGCAAGGACACTGTATGAATTTTAAGTCTGAAATAAATTTGTTGAGGATGAAATTTGATGTTTATAGGGTGATTCGAAAAATAATTTGTCGTTCTTTTGTAATGTAATACGTAAGCTTAGAGTCAAAGTCAAAGAGTCGGTGTGATTAGGTGCTGTACATTCCAGGGAGAAGCATGAGGTTATGTCCTGCATCGCTTTAGAAACAGTTTCGTTCAAAGCAAAGAAATATAGTTTCGTTCAAAGCAAAGAAATATAGTTTCATTCAAAGCAGAGACACAGTTTCTTTCAAAGCAAAGTAAAACTATTTTATCAATAAACTGACGTATTCACAATCACGTCATACTAATAAAATTCGAAAATGAAGTTTTAGATTTCTAGGTAACCTCATTGATATGCTCATTACTGCGTTTCAAAAGCAGGTCACTGCAGTGCCATAACGCATATGCGATATCACAAGATCTGACATTTATTATCGTAGACGCAATATACGACGTTGCAATAACAACAAACATGTTAACAAATGATTTCGATGTTATGACGTATGCATGCATACAAAGGATGTGTTTACACGTCTTTACGTTAAACAAAATAGACGTGTCCACATCTGATCAATATCACATTTCGTATAAATGTAATGCTTCAAAAATTTGAAAATGCAATGCTAATGACTTATAGAAATTATACAAAATGAATTGAACTTTCTTGTTGAATTGTATAGTGTTGAATGCACTGTATCAGACAAAGTCGATGTCATCAGTAATTTGAAAACATGGCGGACGAGTTCTGTCGGAGATTTCAATGCAACATCTGAAACTGTAGCAAGGAGGACGTTTCGACATCCATTCAAGAATTGTTCTTCCAGATCCTTGCAAAAATAGATTAGGACTTTGCTTTTATGAGAAGCTTGATTGTTTGCGAAAGAAATAAGGAAACGACCACGACGTACGTAATAGTATTATGGTAATAGTACCATAATATTATACTTTGGAACAGTTTTAACTTTACAGTTTGCATATTTTCATCTACGGATTTTCCAATGGAATCTAGCATTAAAAATTACTTGGACAAAGAGTTCTACTGGCGTAAAGTTCCTGGAAAACCATAATTTTTGTATCTCGTTGGTCAAACAGAAATTGCTGATGCAAAGTTGATTCAACTATTTATCGTTGTTTTAGTAAGTTAGCGGGAAAGTACAAAATGTATGCAATAAATTAGTCGATGACGTTGGTAGCTAATTAGAAATGCAGATAAATTTCAAAGAGTAATATGATTTTGAGTAAATACTTTCAATTTCCGGTAATATATCGATGAAAATCGAACACCGTTTAATCTTAATTCCAGTTTAATCGTGAAATTTAATCTTACTTGAAAATCTTAGGCAATTGAAAATGTCAGTGGATATCCGTAATCAGATATACTTGATTACCCAGAATCAAATTCGCCGTAAAGAGAATTTACACAAAGAGATTTTCTTTGTTAAAGTCCGCAAGAGATTTGTGCCGCGTACATGCAGAAATGTGAACGGAAGTTGTTGGTAATTAAATTCACGGCCTTCGCATTCTTTTTTTCTTACAGAATTATTTGTTAAAATTCGACATGTATCAATCGAGATAAACGTATTTCGTGATAATAATCTTCTGACGTATTTATAATAATTCTGGAATTTGCGTAATGAAACATGAATTTAACTGTCAACGTAATCTTTTATCTTAAAGAATGAAATATCTTGCGCAACAATTATTATTTTTTATCGTTTGAGCGAGTCAGCGGAAGAATGTGTACGATGAATTAATCAGCAACGATGTGTGGTACTACAAAGACGAGGAGACTAAATGTTTACTATCGCAAAGACACGAACGTGATAATATAAATCATCGATGACAAAATGTGATAATCATACGCGGGTAATGGAATGTATAAATTGACGGGTTATTTAAAATGTCAATGAGCGGAGTAATCTGCGATCTGTGGTATTTTATCGAGTAACGCGTGATTATCTAACGGGTGGTAATTTAACGGATGGTAATCTAACGGGTGCTAATTTAACGGGTGGTAATATAACGGGTGGATATCCAACGCGTAGTGATTCAACGCGTGGATATTCAATGCGTAGTAATGCAATGTGTGGTAATTCTAAACGTAGGAATCTAACGCGTGGTAATCTAACGCG